AATCAGGCTTGGACACACGAGAACATTCAGCCTCACTAGTAGACTCCAGCAGAGTTGAAACTGGCTTATTTTATCCACTGTCCTGAGTACTCTTCAATGAGAAACTTTGAGTTTATGACAGAACCCACAGGACGCGGCTTGCAACTGAGTAGGGTGTCTGTACTTGTGACATTCTGGCTCGCTCGGTCTCTCTTTGAAAGACATTTACATTCGCAACCATTTTTGGCTGTAACAGCCCTACTTTTAAAAAAAGAAGGTTGGAATTTCATGTCATAAACATCCACAGTACTTCAGGATTCTGAAGGTGGTCATGAGAGTTTAGAAAATGTTTGATGAATTCTGTCAATTTGATTGTGACTTAACCCCACCTTGATTCCATTATTGTTAACCATCTTGCCTAAATAGAATCTATCAATCTCAATTTTAAAACTTTCACTTGGCTGTCAGCCTCATCAGCTTTTGAAGGTGGGTGACACCACCCCTGAATGGTCAAGTTTTCATTTTAACGTTACACTTTCCACCGCTTGTTCTAAGCTCTCCCAGTGGAGGAAAGTTTCTCGTTGTCTACCCAATGAACTCCTTTATCAGCTGAAACATCTTTGTCAGATCACCATTTTTTTTCCATTCAATCGTGCGATGTGGATGTCCCTAGTTGCTCTTGAGATGATGAGCTGCCTTCTTGAACCACTGCAGTCCATGTTCTGTAGGTTGACCCACAATGAAGTTAGGGAGGGAATTCCAGGATTTTGACCCAGTGAACACTGAAGGAACAAGAATATATTTCCAAGTCAGGGTGGTGAGTGACTTGGAGGGGAATTTGAAGGTGATGCTGTTCCCACGAATCTGCTGCCTTTGTCCTTCTAAATGGAAGTGGTTGTGGATGGGAAGATGCTGCCTAAAATTCTTTGTTGAATAGCTGCAGTGCATCTTGCAGATAGTGCACACTGCCTTTAGAGTGTCAATGGTGAGGGAACGGATGCTTGTGGATGTGCTGCCAATCAAACAGCTGCTTTATCCTGATTGGTGTCAAGCTTTTTGAGTATTGTTGGAGCTGCATGATCCAGGCAAGTGGGGAGTATTCCATCACACTCCTGACTTGTCACTTGATGGACAGGCTTTGGGAGTTAGGAGGTGAGTTCCATGCTGCATTATGAACTGCCAGAGGAAGTGGTGGATGCAGGTACAGTTAAAACATTTAAAACATTTGGATAAATACATGAATAGGAAAGGTTTGGAGGGATATGGGCCAAACACAGACAAATAGGACTAGTTTGGTTTGGGAACATGGCCAGAGTGGACTAGTTGAACTGAAGGATCTGATTCCATGCTGTATAACTCTATGACTCTGACCTTCTCTTTTATATGGTGAGTCCAGTTAAATGTTTGGCTAATGGCAACCATCAGGATGTTGATAGTGGCGGATTCAGTGATGGTAACACCATTGAATGTCAAGGGGCAGCGGTTAGATTTTGTCTTATTACAGATGGTCATTGCCTGGCATTTGTGTGGTGTAAATGTTACTTGTGACCTGTCAGCCTAAATCTGGATATTGTCCTAGGCTTGTTGCATTCGGACATGGATTGCTTCAGTATCGGAGGAGCTACCAATGGTGCAAAATATCTTATATATGCAAGTAAACAGAAGGCTAATTTCTGCAATTGGTATTCATAATTTAACCATTTTAGCCCTGATATCACTCTGGCAAATCTGGACTGCAAAAGACACAAAGGAAATCTCAAGCTGAACATAAGCATACCTTTTCATTTATGAAGCTGTTAACATATAGAACAAACTTGGAAGAAACATTTAAAAAATACATTAGGTGAGCCAAGATTCAACTGGAATACAGTCCTGGTCTTCTGCCAAGAGTGAGATAAATATAACCTAAAGTGATTTTGAACACAGATTGAAATAACAGGGTAAGGAGAATGGGCTGAATGCCTCATTCCAATTACCTGTCTCTTTCCATGTGATGCTTTATTCCCCTTTTCATGAGAAAAGAATTCAATTTCACAAATTCTAAACCAAATAACAGACTTGTACTTAATGTTGTGATGTAGGATTTCAGAGGAATGTTGAGCAGAATGCTACCTTCTGATGCAGTGTGTCAAGGTGGGTCCAAAAAATGTGTTCCTCTCAGGGACAGGTTGAGTTTCCTGTGCAATTATGTTCTTGTCAGCCCATTACATACGCACACACTTGAAAACTGTTAGGTTTATAGGCAGTGGGTTCTGAAGCTTACTGGGATCTTCCAGACTCCAACATCTGGTGGTCATATTTAAAAGGCATTCCGATAACACTTCACTCTCTAAACCCAGAAACATCACCCAATCTCTGCTCAACATCCTCACCCACACTTGGAGATGTCAGAAACTAGGCAAAAAAACAGCAGAAGGCTACAGCAGTGCCTCCCCTAGATGTGCTCCTGAATGCTGTCTTGGTAAGAAGATTTTTTTTTTCCTACAGATGGCAACATTAAGACATTCTGATTGACAAAGGCAGCCTTGACAGAAATCCAGCACCCAGGGACAGCCCAGGAGATCTTGGCTCCAGTGCTCCACAAGGATGAATGATATACTAACCTCTGCCAGAGTCTACAGAGTGCTCCATGTCATTGGACAGTATTATAATTCAGCGGATTTGGTGCCAGAGCTGTACAACAGAAACTTCTCGTGTAATTAATGTCTGCAGCAGGTGGTGAGGGAACTAAAAAGAGCGTAAAAATTATTTTATTGATCTCATCTTCACAAACCTCTGTTGGAGATGTATCCATCTATGCCAGAATCGGTAGTAGTGACCACTACACAGTTCTTGAGGAAATTTAGTCTTTGCACTGAGGATATTGCCTATTATGATGCGTGACACCATTTCTGTGCTATGTTCTGAGGAAGGGTCACTGGACCCGAAACGTTAACTCTGTTTTTGCCTTCACAGATGCTGCCAGACCTGCTGAGCTTTTCCAGCAACTTCATTTTTGTATCAATGTAGCATCACTGACACACTTAAAAGGGTCTGCAACACTTAGCAGCTCACGCACCATTATATCTCCGACCTTCCATCACAATGAGGAGAACATATGCATCCAACAGCTTTTATCCAGAGACTTGCATGGGACAAGAAAACAACTGTAAAATATGGCCTTGAGAGTTGCACACCCTTTGAGTTGAAAACACCTTGCTTGTCCCGGTCAGGTTTGCTGGTGTCAGGCTTGTTGGCCTGGTCAGGTGTCAGCTGAACAAGTTATACTGTGCATGACCAAGACTTCTCATGAGCTGATCAACATTGAGAGTCCGCACGCCAGCAGTGCAAGCACGTGTGCAAAGAAACAGTTTGATTACTAACGAGCAAAGTAACAAAAGATGTTTGTACTCACCTGTGCTCGGAAGAAGATGACTACCCCATTCAGGTACATGTCTTGTGTATAAAGTCGGGTTTGTTGTCAGAAGTGTTTCCCATTTCTGGCTGACACGGCCATTCCAGCGGGCTGGGATGTTCATGAGTGAACATTCATGACATCATATTCATAACATTGTTGGGAAAGTGATTTCATTTATGCTTCCTAACTAATTAAGATCCCCACCCGCAACCCCATATTTTAAAAAAATGCTCCGGAAAACATTGCCCATTGTCGAGCTATATTTCAGACACTAGACCGATTCCCACATGAACATTTGTGTATTTCCTTCTCTGCCTCTGCGTTTCCTTGTATATTTGCAGCATTAATTGCATCCTTTTTGGAACTCAACTGATTTCCTTTAGTGATTTTCTCAGAGCAGCTCCCCTTTAAAAGCTGAGAAGGATTACAACTCCTAGCTGCCACTGCAAGTGAAGATCTGATAACCTGTCACAGAGCAAATCAGCAGATAGTCAACAATCGATTCTAACTTGGTTTCTAACAGTGATAATACGCCTTTCATTACATGCCTGGATGCAGAAAAGAAAACTGGTCCAAAGAGAAACTTCAATAAGGTCAAGCATGCCAAAGACAGTGTGCTTAGCGGAGTGGCTGCCAAAAGGAAAAACAAGGAGAATTTGAACTGGGGTAGTCAAGGGGAAATCCTGGACCCTTTCTTGTCAGAAATCATGCTCCAATCACCTAGGGTCAAGTGAGTTTATTAAGCTTGTGTGTAAAGCTCTGCAGGAAAAAGGATCACATTCCAGGGTAATAAGATTGTTGGAAGAATGGCTGAACAGCAGAAATTCTAGTGTTTGAGCCACGTCAGATTCAAGAACAGGGTGGTTCTTTGTGCTAAAATACTCAATCAGCAAACACAGACAAACTCCACAGAACCTAAATATAACAGGCTGCAACAAATGGGCCAGAGTTAGACGAAAAATTCACACTCTCCCAGAAGCTTTCCCAGTATGAGCCTGCAGGGCCTGTCTCCATCCACTGATTGGAAGCTTTGCCATGTGAATCACAACACTTTGATCTTGAACTTGTATAACATTCGTTAACAAAAGGACAGGCAAACGATCTAGATTCCTACGAATTCAACCCAATATTAAACTTCTGGAAATGAGAACAAGTTTTTGTCTTTGTTCTACGTGGATATAGGTACACCATCATGTTAAGGAGGGGAGGGGGATATCAGTTTTGAATAAATTCAAATTGAACTTTGAATTCCAAAATTACATTCTCAATGTTTTGTATATACAGACCTTGGTGCGCTGATTCAGCATTTGTCCAACAGTAAGGCAATTTTTTTTTAAAAGAGCTCTTTCAAAAGCTCCTAGCACACTAAATACAAACAAGTCAAACCAGGAACTAGCAACTTGCTAGTGGAACTGGACTATGATTTAAGGGGAGTTTGTGAGGGAACAGATCAACGCTGGGATATTAGGAAAAACTCACGTGGGCATCCCTTCTATTGCCAAACTAACCAAGAATGGAAATTTTCACAGGCTACAAGGAAATGGGCCTTGAACTCCTGGACAGTGTGAGTACATTTAAACAAAAAAAAACTTAATGAATTGTAAAGAGGACACAGACCCAAAGATGAACTTAAGGCATGGATTTATTTTGCTGTGTTTTAAAAAAAACGTTGGAAAGGAACACATCATCACAAATACTTACAATGTGAAGGGACCTAGGCAGCATACTCATTCACAACTGTTGTTGAAAGCACTTTTCTTCATAGAAGAAGATGAAGATTAAACGATGAACAAGAAAGTATGCATCTATTGTGACTGTGAACACCCACGATCACCCTGGAAGCCCAGATTTCAGCAGCCGTGTGTATTTATTCCCTAAGAGATATTTTTATAAGGTACTTTGCACTGGAGTCTATAATGTTCTCACCTTCACAGCTTGACCACTGATGCGTCAGTTTGAGACTATGCTCATTGTATATTAGATAGGTTAATCTAAAAATGCACATACAAGCTTATTGTCCTATTGACTAAATAAGTGTGTACTGTGGAGACTGAGGGACCACGTATCAGGGGAGTTTACATCCATGCTTCCATTTAATTTGTATATATCTCACTTTGCTGATACAAGCAGATCTTGGTATTATGATTTAGAACTTAGGCTCAAGTGAGGCAACTGTGCTAAAAACAATCCTTTCTAAACCTGCAGACCCAAGAAAATCAAACAGAACCAACCAGCAAATTAGAGATATAAGCATAAATGCAACTGAATGCCTTGCCTTTGGTGGCTACATCAACAGGACTCTGTGCCTGCAGACTGGACATCTCAATATGAATGCCACTTTTTAATTTTATTCAATAAATAATCTGATGGCATGAGGTGCGAAGTTCATTCATGAACAGATGAGGAAAACAAGTCGAATTTGGCTTTGCGAGTAGCTGTTTCACCCATCACTTGCAGGCGATAGTAGAGTCGCAAGAACAATCAGGTAACTCGAGCTTTCTTTACCCTCTGAGAAATGGACTGAAAACAAACAATAAAAACAGAAATAAAATTAGGCATAAAGGCTTATTTCCTGATAAACAAATTTTCTTTAGCCAGTTTCAGCCCCTTCTCTCTCCTGCAGGCAGTAACTGACTGTAACGATAAAAACCTTAAATTTATTTTGCTCCTTTAGAAAACAACGGCTCATACTTATATAGTTCTTTTAACATAGTCAAATATCCCAAGGGGCTTCATGGCAGCATCATAAAATAAAATATGACAATGATGACCAAACTCTTGGTCAATGGTGTTAAGCAGTGTGTCTTTAAGGGGGAAACATTTGATTTGATTTGATTTATTACTGTCATGTGTACCGAGGTACAGTTGAAAATGTTCAAAATTTACAGGTATATCTTACACTACAAGTGCATCAGGGTAACAGAACAAAGTACTGTTACAGTACTGTTACAGCTGCCAAGAAGGTGCACAGAGACCAACATTAACATTAAAGTGGTCCATTCAAAAGTCTTATAACAGCAGGGAAGAAACTGTTCTTGAATCTGTTCGTATGTGTATTCAAACTTATATATGTTCTGCCTGAAGGAACAGGGTAGAAGAGAGCATAACCGGGATGTGAGGGGTCCTTAATTATGTTGGTTGCTTTCCTGATGCAGCGGGAAGTATAGATGAAGCCAATGGGTAGGAGGCTGGTTCATGTGATGGACTGGGCTGTGTTCACAACTCTCTATAGATTATTTTGGTCTTGGGATGCTTCCAGATAGGATGCTTTCTGTGGTCATCTATAAAAATTTGTAAGTGTCTTTATGGTGATGCCAAATTTCCTTAGCCTCCTGAGGAAGTAGAAGCATGGGGTGGACATCAGATAGAGAGCAATGTTCCCTCTAAACCTCATGGCTGTGCACCACTCAGATTCTGCAGACACCAACTGGCATGCTGATGCATTGACCTTAATTTCTGAAAATTACTGCTGCACATGGACCTTGGAGGTCCACATAACAGCAGCATAAATGCAGGGAACCAAGGAGTGAGACTCAGAGCAGACTGAGAGAATCTCAGAGCTTGGAGCCATGCAAATGGATAGTGCTGTTATCAGAGGGGGAGCAAATTAAAACTGGGGATTCTCAATGGGTCAGAAATAGATGAGTCCCTACATCTTGGAGGATTGTGGGGCTGGAGAAGGTCATAGAACTACAGAGGAGCATGGCCAGGAAAGGATATGAAAACAAGGATGAGAATGTTAAAATCAAGACATTACTTGACCAAGGGACAATGTCGTTCAACAAGAATATGGCTGATAAGTGAGTGGTATTTGGTGTGAGCTACAGTGCAGGCAACAGTGATTTGCTCAACCTCAGACATAGGGAGGGTAGAATTTGTGAAACAGTATGTTGGAATCGTCAGGTTTGTAGGCCAATACATGGATGCTGGTTTCAGCAGATGAGCTAAGACAGGACAAAGTCGAACAATGCTACAGAAGTGAAAATAGCTGGTCTTAGCAGAGCACAAATATATATTTTTATAAGCTCATCCCAGTGTCCAATACAAGACAGTGTTGCACATCAGTCTGTTCTAATACCCCATAGTTGCAAGTATCAGGAATGGTGTTGGTAGCTGGAGAACACAGTTTGCAACAGAGACAGAAGACTTCAATTTTCCTAACTTTTGATTGGAGGAAATTTCTGCTCATCCAGACTGAAAAAGCAGGCTGGTAACTCAGAAATGCTGCAGAAGACAAGAAAGGTGGTGATGAGATTGCGCTGGGTGTTGTCAGCATACATGTGAAAACTACTGCTTTGCTTGCAGATGATAGTGCCAAGGGGTAGCATGTAGATTTTTAATAGGAGGGCACCAAGAATAGGCCCTGGGAGGCGCGAGGGGTGATTATGCAACTATTGCAATGAAGCCATTGCAAGCCATTCTCTGTCTATGATTAGATAGATAAGAATGAAACCAGGTGAATGCAGGCCCACCTAGCTGAACAACAGTTCTATGGCATCCTGAGATTTCTTGCCTTAATGGTAATTCTTCATGTACGAAATGAGTGAGTTACTCAACCGTGGGAGTCAACACCAGGTCCAATTCTGTTGCCACCTACACTCCATATACTTCCCAGTAGGAAATCAAAAATCATTTGCATCTTCTTGGTCAAAGAACCCCAAGGCCAACAGTTCATTTCATCTAAAAAAAAACACGTGGGATGTCTGAAAAATAATGCAGTTCTTACTTTGCAGCCATGGACTGGGAATCAGACCATGACTTGTTGGGGCTGAGTTACTTCATTTCTTTCCCAAATGAGCCATTCTGTCTTCAAAGGTTAAAACAACAACTGTCCCAGTTTCTAGCTCCAATCTGAGTTCAACTTCACTGTTCTCAGATGGCTGACAATGGATGCTATATCTGGTCTCAGTGCACCTGGCTAAGGCAAGGCTCTTGCAGTAGACAATGTGTTCAGTGACACTGGCAGGGCTCTTGCAGTAGACAGTGCGTTCAGTGACACTGGCAGACTCTTGCAGTAAACAGTGTGTTCAGTGACACTGGCTGGAAGTGTATAGGTGTGGCCGTCAGATAAAGCAGGATAGAGCTTGGCCATAATGACCCCCTTGGTTCAATAGCCGATCGACACCTATTATTAAGGCTCATGGAAAAAAGGTCAATTTCAGAAGATACTGGAGGTTGTCTAGTGCTTTGAATGATAACTTATCATCAGTATGGAGATAGTTAAGGTGTGTGAATGCTCATCTTGATGATAATTCTCAAGTGACATTTGCAGATTGCTCTCTCTTTTTCTGCTACTTCTCCTTCAGGGAACGAATGGGGCAAAGCTATCAAGGAAAAGGGCCAACACTTTTCTCATAACCATAGAAACATAATCTTGATTAACTGGCCCTTCATATCAATTTCTGTTTGTGGGGTTTCGCTGTGTGCAAGCTGGCGGCTGTGCTTACCTGAAGAGCAACAGTGACCACACAACAAAAGTAGTTCATTTAGATATCAGGTGCTTTGGAACTCACTGAAGATGTGATAAGACGCTATATTTATTCCAATTTTGTACTCACTATTTCTGGGTTCAGACACATCATCATAAAACTCTCTCATAGCAGTAACAGCTATACTCTTTTATTGCATTGAAGTGTTATATTTCATTATCCTCACCAATTATTCTGTTCTTGCCACCCATCTTCTGGTGATAGTATACACACTAGGGTATAGTTTGAAACATAAGAACCAGGAGCAGGAGTTGGCAATTCAGCCCTTGAGCCTATCCTGCCATTCAATACCATCATGGTTGATCTCATCTCATCTTGAACTCCACTTTCTTGCCCGCTCTCCTTCAACCCTAACATAGCACAATGTAGGCAGATACTTACAGTTCTTCTTCGATAGAAGTGCGGGGCTAATTCTAACAACCACGAAGATTGGATCGCAGTCACATCTCTCATAAAATACTTGGATGTCTGGATGATCTCGTTATACACGACCCTGGTGACAGACGGAATGTGACAGTGAGGGGTTTTAGAAACTCAACTGTTATTTCACAGGTTACTATCCCCCAGTTCATACAAAAATAAGTATTTAGGAACCGAGATAACAAAGTATAGGAGCTGGAGAAGCACAGTAGGCCAGGCAGAATCAGAGGAACCGAGATGTATTATTGGGTTTGAAATCAGTTGGAAACTGATTCAGTAATAATTTTCAAAAGCGAACTGGATATGTACTCAGAAGTGGAAGAGAAAAACGTATACTGATGGGGTATGAGATGAAGTGGATAGCTTTCAAAGAGCTAGCATAGGCACAGTGGACCAAATGGCCTCCTCATGCTGTAACTATTTTATACTTCTTTATATTACATGCAAAAAAATGATGTGACAATCATCACAGAGTCAAACTTACCATTGTGGTTCCTTCTCTCCATATAATACAGAGGTTGGATGAATATGAAGTTCATAATCATCTCGAATGGTCCTATATATAAAATAAATGTTAAAAATATGCTTATATATGCAATCTGTACTGGAGAATGTCACAGTAAAAGGTGTAGGAAATGTCAGAGTGCAGATTCTTTTGTAAATTATAATGGGGAATGCTGTAAAATGGATATCTCATCATAAAGTGGTGACAGAGGGTCATGGAAAGAATATTTCTTCTCACTGGATCTCTCTTTTTCTCTTTGAGGGTGTTGACTCTGCTCATCCAAGTGGTCATTATTTATGTGTTGGTCTTGGCAGTTAAGTACAGGCAGACTATTTAATCACAGGGGTATCAGAGCTCAGTCCTAATTCAAGACAGAGCTGCAAGCTATGTTTCACAAGGGGTGTGGGATGGTACTTGTCCAAGAGAGTGATTACAAAAAGTGTGCAGTACATCAAACAGGATATGCATTATGTCTAATTGCTTTACAATGACGAATGTTAGATTCAGTAAAAAGATTTGTAAAGTCATGAGTAAAAAGAATCAAAAACTTGATAGCAAATCTGCCTCATTGTTACCTGTAGAATCCAGAATAATGAAATTTAGCAGCATTCGCAAAGAAGCCTGAAACAATACATCGCAGAATAGGATCTGGGTCACCTGAGGAGATAGAATGGTAAAGCAGATCAGCTCTCATTTCACATAGCGGTAAGACTGACTACTTTACCCAGGTCTGGCTAATCTGAGGTTGAGGTGGGAGCTGAAACAGGAGTAGGACTAGAGCAGACTGAGGCCTAGTTGGTTCTATGGTGGGGTTGCACCATTGTTCTGACACCAGCTTTTAATCATTAATTTCACTGCTATCACACATCAGGATTTGAGGAATTACGTCTTGAAATAATCTACATAAAATCCACAAATGTAATGCCCGATTACCATTTCAAGGTTTCATTCATGCATTATAGGAAACAGTCATATGGAAGCGATCTTTTGTCCACTTTCCAGTATCAAATTGCAAGGAGTGAAACAATGAAATGACCAAACAAATAACTATATCACAATTCTAATAGTGAATAGCAATAATGAAACATGCAATAAATCTACTCCCTGCATTTTATGAATCTCTGCTATGTGCATCCATGTGATTTTGTAACAAACATTGACTACCTTGAACTGGAGAGTTAAATCTAGGAACTATCAGGGCTATAGGTGCTTTCAGGGGTCAGTAGTGCAATCATTGACTGCACTGCAAACAGATACAATGTTGAGTTAGGCCTGTAATTCAATGCAATCACAGCAGATCTATTTATACAGCACTTTCAATACTATAAACACTCCAAGGCACTTCACAAAGTACAACACCAATCACATAAGGAAGTATTAGATCAGATCAAAGGTTTGCTCAAAGAGGATGGCTTTAAGGAGTGTTTTAAAAGCAGGAAATGAGGTGGAGAGGCAGAAAGGTAGTCAAGATCAAATAGAGAGTATTCAAGCACATAGACCACTGAAGGCATGGCCACCACAAAGAAAGGGATGGGTAAAGCTGTGAGGAATCTGTCAGCAACGATGAGAATTTTATAATCAATGTGTTGTTTGACGGGGAGCCATTACAAATCAGCGAGCACAGAAGTGACAGGGTTCAAGAAGGCAGCTCAACACCACCTTCTCAAGGGCAGCTAGGGATGGGCAACCAGCGATGCCCACATCCCACAAATGAATAGAAAAAAAAATAGACAGGGCTTGGTGCAAGTTAAGACACCAAGTGGCAAAACAGGGAACTGAGTTTGGATGACCTCAAATCTACAGAGGATAGAATGTGGAAAACCAGTCAGGAGTGCTTTGGAATAGACACATTGAAAGTTTAAAAAGGCATGAATGAGAGTTTCAGTGGTACACAGCAAGCTCCATCTGACAGTCTGACTGTTTGGGTGAGGGAGGGGGAGGAAGCAGATGGAAGCCAGGTGTGTCTCCATGAAGAATTAAAAAAATACCTTGGACATTTCTCATCAACAGGTTGTAAAGCAATATTGATAAGAGCAAAAATTAAATCTGAAAGAGCAATTTCTTGCTAAACTGGGCTAAAGGCTGTTGGTTCCACTACGTCTGAATAAATAAATTCAGATGCACACAGTCCCCACCACCCATCAGCAGTGGTGAACCAAACTCTTGCTCGCAGCAGACACAATACTCTGACATAATTGCCATAGAAACATGAGCAACCACTTCCAACTGTTATTAATTATTTTCTTTGCACAGCAATAGACAGCACAATGGATTGGCCTTTGATGACTCTGTTATGCCCAGTATAAGGAATTTCAAATACTCCACCGTGTTGGTACCTTCGCTCGATTTCTTTGGCACTCTGAATTTGGACAATAACTTTTTTAGTTGCTCACGTACGGTAGTGGCTCTAATAAGCCCTTTGTAGTTTAAGAAATGCTTCTGGCACCACTGAGAGTTTTTATTGTGCTGCAACAGACAAAGAAAACATATTAATATTGGCAGTGTCAACCTCTAACTCATCATTCACAGCCACAGTTTGATTATGGTCCAAAGTATTAAAGAACTTAATAACATACAAGGAAGAACAGAAAAGGTCACCCACACTGAGGTAATAAAAAACTCAAAATTCTTAACAGGCCCAACAACATCCTGTAGATGAGAGAAAATGTTTGGGTGTAAATCTTTCCCTAGCACTGACGTCAGAACTAACCTGTCTTTTTGCTTTTCTGAAGATATTTGAGCGTGCTGCTGTATTTTCCATTTTATCTTAGGGGGTTGCACCCTCTTTCAACACTCAATATGACCATTTTTCATTGCATCTCACAAAAGGGGAGGCAACCACCTAGTGGTACTATCGCTGAACTGTTGATCCAGAGGCCCAGATTAATATTCTGGGGCTTCAGGTTCGGATCCCATTCCGGCAGATGGTGGAATTTGAATTCAATGAACAAATCTGGAAGTAAGAGACTAACAGTGACCATGAAACCAATGTTGATTGTCAGGAAAAGCCCATCTGGTTCACTAATGCCCTTTAGGGAAGGAAACTGTCATCCTTGCCTGGTCTGGCCTTACATGTGACTCCAGACCCTCAGCAATATAGTTGACTCTTAAATTCACTCTGTAGTAGGCAATTAGGGATGGGCAATAAATGCTGACCTAGCCTGTGATGCCCTCATCCTATGAATGAATAAAATAAAAACCATATTCCTCTACTCTCTACAGGATGAAAATGTCTCCACATTTTCCTGTTGAGACTTCACTGTCTATGTAACATGCCCACACCTTCCTCACAGCTTTCACACAGTGCAGACTGGCTCCTGGGTGAAGAATGCAGGAGGTATTTTGCAGGCTGAGAATACAGCATGTTGCTGTCCCTTTACAGTGATAATAGTTATTGATTGGGACATCCTAATTAAAATGGTATATCTATGAGATAAACTTCATTCCTGGATTTGTGTTCTATCAAACTGGCATAGCTCCCAGTTCTACACAAACACTTTTGATTGTTTTCTATCCTTCACGCTGAAGCAAAAAAAAATTTACTTAGTTCTAAAAACAAAAAGTGCTGGAAATCACAGCAGGTCAGGTAGCATCCACGCAGAGTGAGCTAACATTTCAAGTCTAGGTGACTCTTCATCAGCTCTTGACTCTACTGTTATACTGCTCACTCACAACCTTATTGATTCAAATACAACAACAAATTGCATTTCTATAATGCTGGTAACACTAAAGACTTTACAAGATACTACACAGGAACGCAGTCAAACAAAATTTGATACTGAGCTACAAAGGGGATAATAGGCCAATACCTTGACTGAAGACAGTAAAGGTTGCAAGCTCCGTTTTCAAGGTGGACAGAAAAGTAGAGACTAAGAGGTTTAGGGAGGGGATCCAGAGCTTATAATACAAGCAGCTGAAGGCTTGGTTGCTAATAGTTGAACAATAGAGGGACAAGAAAGCAACCACTTTGAGTCTATCTACTAGTATCTATCAGGGAATTATCTATCCATTGATATTAAAAGTTTTTGGAATAAAAGAAGTACTGTAACATAGTTATCATCAGAAACCTGCAAACACACAGGCTTGGACCCACTTGATATAAGCAACACCTCTTTGAAAAGCAATAGATTCTCCCACCCTTTTCCTGAAGGCATTGGCTTCACTGCTGGATTACAATTCCACAGATACTGATGGAATAGCCAGACTTCATCTGTGAACCAAGACTATAGTTTCTGGCAGGCTACTAAAGCCTGGGGAATATGACTTCACAGTGTGATCTTTTCCTCACAGCGAATCCACACATGTGCACACTTCAATAAGGGTTTTGCTGGACATTAAACAGAAGTTAGGACACTGGTTGTTTTTTCAACCCTTGCCTAATACAAGAACCCTGGAAACCTCAGCTGAGATCAGCTAACTCAGCACAGACCTTGAATTAAATCTAAAACCATCTTGATATGCAAAGTCCAACATCAAGCTTTGCTTTGACTCTCTACGCAACAGAAGGAATCATAAATCATTGAATATTTCCACATAATCATTCCTGCAGGGCAAAGTTTAATAATGGTAAAATTTTGCACTTTCCGTAAGTATAAGTTATGACCATCTTCCATTAGTATATGGGCTACAAATTCTTAAACTACTGCAACCTAGATACAAAAAGCTCTATCCAAACCTTAACAAAGGCCTCATAGACGTTCAGCATTGTGAGATGATCTCCCTCAGCCACAGCAAACTTCCTGTGCTCTCTTACCTTGAAAGGGAATTTAAAAAAGAAAACACTGAGATACTCATAAAAGCAACGAAGTGAAATTAAACTTCATAAAAAGGTAATGTAGCTCAGGTGAAACACAACCAAATGAATGCTTCACCAGCCCCTTCCCCTCCCTCCCATCAATATCCCATGCACTCACAGAAAGACTCTCATGTCTGTCTTCTATTTACAAGTCCCAGCCACAGATTATTAGAAGTGCCACAATGTCAGGTCTTACACAGTCTTATCCACATAGAAAATTTCAGTGATCCCAATACCATTAGGATTCAGAAGCTTTACATCATGTGATTAATGCAGTTAAGATGAGCCATAATCTAACTGAGCTGTGGAACAGTCTCCTGAGGCTGAATGGCCTACTCTAGGTCCTACTTTCCAAGTGAATTTGTAGCATTAATGATTGCCCCACTTGCAATCATCTCCTTAGTGAATTTAATGGGTGTTCTGCCACTCTACCACGCTCAATTCAGAATAGCAGCATTAAATTTTGAAGAGATTTTACTTGGTGGAATAAATAATAATTTGACACAATAAATAAAGATATGAAACTCAAAAGTCGACAAATACTTAACAGAGTTAGACATAAAATTGTGTATTGTAAAAGGTCACTAACAGAGTAATTATCCATTGAGCATATATTTTTGGTTTTGAAAAAAAATCTTTGATGAAGGTTATGCACACTAATTTTAGTAACATTAGGCAAGTGTGCAGCTCCAAAAAATTATGTTTCTGTAACAGAAAATATCTGCTTGTTTGCTAGGATCTACAGAATCACTAGTTTCCAGACATTCACAGTAAACAAATTCCAGCATTTTCTGTTCAATCTCAGATTTCCAGCACTCAGTATTTTATTTCTGTACAATAAACAATCACCATGTTCATTACAACAAGCCTCTGCTATTTAATGACAAGTCCATTAGCAATTTAAAACATCTAAATCACCTTGACATAGAAACAAAAGACAATCTCTGCTTCTTTAATTAAAACTGAAGCAAAACAAAATTCATGACAAACACAATTACAGGAGCATCATCAGTTTCTTTTTTCTCCCTGCAAAATGGAAATTATAATTTGCTTCCATTTTTGGTTGAAAGCATTTATTTGTGAGACAGCAGGGAAATTTAACATAATAACAACCAGCAGATAATGTATCACACAATTTTAAACTACCTTTTTAATGTAACGAATGGGCCAAATGAAAAATGTGGAGAACTCTGCAGGTCAGATGATCTTTTTCCCCCCCCCTCAAGCTCAAGTAAGGTAATTTTCAATCATGTCTGTTAGGTACAGAGGAGTGAATTTATAGGGCTATGAAGTGTACAGAGACTAGCTCACCCTTGTAAAATGAAACCATGCAAATCCACAGGATGTATCACATGATGCTGCAATCCTTCAACTGCCTGTTTTTACAGCATGTTGCCTCAACCTCAGAAACAATTTCACCATGAAATACAGCACACAGGGATGAAAAAGAAGATTTTTTTTTAAGCAAGGAGAAAGAAAGCCGAACGAATGGAAGTATAAAAATCAGTAAATACAAGGCAATGAGCTGTAAATGCTATTTCTAAAGCCGACACACCTCGTGCATTGCATCGTGATTTGAACCTCTTGTGTTATATAACAACTTCAGAATAATTTAAAAGGGATCCACTGATGTCTCAGTTGTGTTTATGAAACGAGTAGCTGAACTTTGGATGCATGAAATCCCTTCTGCTGATCTCAAGCTGAAATAAGAGCACCATTCACCTGCCCTTGAGGGTGAGGCAAGTTGTGCCATGTGCTACATGGACATTAGGTGAGCACTGAATCAAACTTGGCTGTGATTTCCTCCACAAACAACCTGCTGGCAATCTACGCGAAGGTAGACACACGAGTGTAAGGCACGATGTTTCAGGATAATTGATACATGCAAAACCATACCCCAGGAAGCACTAATTCCCTTCATGGAAGAAGAGGTGATGGAGATTGGCAATTAAAATAAAGTTCAGGTTTATAAAATCATAATTATAAAGTACACATTAATGAGGAATGCAAGGGTTGGTGGTCTATAGAAAAAAAAGCAGAGTTAACTCAACCATTATCACTAAATCATATTTGCGATAAATAACTATCATGCACATATAACATTTTAATCTACGAGTGTACTTAAATAATACTGCAGCTCTCTCTATTAAGATCCAACACTCATTCCCTTAAAGAAAACCTAGGGTCCCTAGGCTGGATTACTGGTTTGTTACGGTACAAAGGCCAATCTATTCCTGCAGATTCAATGGGGGTAGGGGGGACAGGATGTGAGACTTTGTGAAACTTCTGAACCTACCGCTGCACTTTTCTGGTTTGGGGGTACCAGAAACACATTCTGTATCTGCATCATGGCTGCTATACTCAAAATCTCCTGTGAGCACCCAAAGTTTCCTCAAATTAAAAGAAGAAAAGAAGAAAAGATTAGTAATTGTCACCCACATTGTATTAGTCACAGTCTCACAAGTAAATGTGACCATGCTGATCATGTCTATTTAAAAAACACCTTTTTCCTGCACATTCTGATTTCTCTCTACCATACAGCGTACCACTTCCTGGACGAGGTAGCTGTTGGCCAAAATCAGCCTGTTCTGAATACTTCAATAAGCTCCTCTTGCAAACACCATGACCACCAGCGTACAGACACCGTACATAAATCACTATGTAGATTCATGTTTATGCTCTTATTAACTTGTGCTGTATTTAAATTTATTAAATCCCAATGCAGTACTGATTCCTTTTTCAAATTAAATAAAATACAAGCATATGTCAAGCGTTGCTTCTCCTGCAAGCTTGGCTGCTGGACGTTGTGCTGTGGTAGAAAGTGTTTGATCTTCACATGCCATCTTCCTCAAGCATCCCCTCCCTGTAACCACAGTCTCGTCAGGAACTCTGTGGGTCACGAATTGAAGGATGTGTATGCATTCATTTGGTCTGTACAGGCCATCAGGCCTGAAATCCACATGTCATACCAGCTTTGCACAATATTATTGTGGCTAGACAGCCCAAGAATGGATCAGCCGTGCATTTTCAAATACTCACTCGCTCTCCATTATGTTTTCGGAAACGGATCTGGAGATAAGCAACCTTTGTGGTAGGACACCATTGCACTGGAACACATGCTATTACAGAAACAGGGCTGTCAGCCCAGCTGATTTGTGCTGACATTTATGCTCATGAGCCTTCATTCATCCACTTCATTCAACTTGGTCAACATAATCTTCTATTTGTTTTCCCTTCGCTCGCTTTTCCTTAAATCCATGTGTTCACTCAAATACTTAATGTCGCAGCAAGATTCACATTCTACTCACTCTTTGCCTAAAGAGGTTCCTCCTGTCAAGCATTCTGAGATGTTTTGCTTTGTCAAAGGTGCTACATAAAAGCTAATTGTTGCTGAATTCCTCAATCACCCCCTTATATTTATGGTCCCCAGTTTTGATCTCCTCAAATACTAGAGAAATCTCTTCTGTGTTTATCCTATCAAGCCCCTTCATAATCTCAAAGCCCTCTATCTGGTCACTCTCCTCTCCTCAGCAGTCTACAGATTCAGTGTCAGGTTTGATAGTCTGTAGAGATGTCGACCCTCTGTTGAGAGACAGTGTCTCTCCTGATGCGAAAGAATTACATTACAGAGAATATTGAAAAAGGATAAATCAGAGTCTGCGTCCACAACTTGTAGTGTCAGGTTCAGAGCGACTCCATTTAACTTTCTATCGGTTCTACAATGGCTGACCTGATCCCTATCATGTCCCTGCGCAATGTTTTAGGTTAAAATCTGGCCAATATTGTGCACATTTGTACAATTAACTGTTTTCACAAAGATTGATTTTCTCCTTCCTTTCTTCCAGGTCAGCTGATCAATAGCAACACAGAGTAATGGATTGATTCAGCGCAGAAGGAGGCCATTTGGCCCATCGGGTCCATGCTGGTCTCTACAAGAAAATGGCAGCTCGCATCACTTCCATTTTGTTTTCCCAGTAGCCCTGCAATGTTCCTTCTACTCAAATAGTTCACCATTTCTCTTTCAAAAGTCATAATTGAATTAGGCTATACCAGACACACTCAGAATGGGAGTCACTTGTGTTATTTGTCCAATAATCTACATCAACAGCCCCTTTTGAAGTGATACAAAACATGTCAGTCACGATAGGGCTTCACTCCAAGACAGAGTAAAACAGTCCTTCCAGAAAGGACATTTTACCAAGTAAAATGCCCCAAAGCACTTCATTAGAGCACTGTTGCACAACACTTGACACTAAGCTGCATAAAATGGTTTCAGGACAATTAACCAAAAGATTAGTTAAAGAAATAGTTTTATAACGAGTGTTTGAAAGGAGGAGAGAAAGGTAGAAACACGGTGTGGTTTAAGAAAGGAATTCCTGAATTTCAGGCTGAACTCAGGCAGGGCTACCATTTCCAGTACACTATCCTGTTTCTAAGGCTTACCTGACTCCAGCAGCATTTTAGCAAACATGGGATTCAAGGGAAATTCAGCCATGCGTAAGCCAAGAGGGTCAGTAAGGAAGCACTGATCGTTCAAACCTGCAAGCAGCACACAAAACAAATTCTACATTTAATGAGAAACAAATCTAAGGCACTGGGACTATCACTCTCTCTAATTATTCATTTGTTTCCAAAAAATAACTAACATTGAAAATAAAATTAGCCTCTCATTTCCTTGCAAGCTTGTAAGCAATAAAGATGTCAGTCATCATTTGAGGTTCTTCCAGATAATGGGCTCTCTCTCATTTTAGGATATCCTTGATTTCTGGGCTCTAGGTTCAATCAGGTCTAGATTGAATGGAAATGTTTTACTTGAAAATTCATAAATTAAATGAATTTAGGGCACTTTTAAGAGTCCATTGTGAGCTTGAGCAGATAGACATACAACTTTCTAAATCAGGAGCAGAAATAGGACTTCAGGCAAATCATGGTTGATTTGATTGTAATCTCAAATCCACAATCCCTCCTGGCCCTGATGTTATTTCAACCACTTGCTTAACAAGAATCTATCTACCTCTATCTTAAAAATATTTAAGGACTCTGTTTCCACCAACTTTTCAGGGAGAGGGTTCCAAAGACTGACGATCCTCCGAGAGAAAATAATTCAGCTCATCTCTGTTTTAAATAGGCAACCCCTTGATCTAGCTTCCCCAAGAATTGGAAGCATCGTTTCCGCATGCACCCTTGTCAAGACGCCTCAGGACTTTACATGTTTCAATCAGGTCACCTCTTCTGAACTCTAGCAGATACAAGCCCAAGTATGGACTGCATCAATGGAGTTAATTTGACACTGAGGGACTGAGAAGTGAATCCTTGCCACTGTATTCCAGTTTGCAGAACAGATCCTGCAGCTCCCTTGCCTTCACAGTATGGGATATACACACAGGGATTAGTGCTGGGACGCCTGCTGTTTACACTTTATAAAATGACTTAGATGAAGGGTTAGAAAGTATGGTTGTCAAATTTGTTGACAACACAAACATAGGTGGGGAAATGAGTTGTGAAGAGGACACAAGGAGGCTATGAAAAGATATTGATAGACTAAATGTGTGAGAAAAGATGCATCAAAAGATGGGAAAATGTGAAGTTGTCCATTTTAGCAAGAAGAATAAAAAACATTATCTAAATGATGAGAAATTGCAGAACTTTGAGATGCAGAGGGATTTGGGTGTCCTCAAGCATGAAATTGGGAAAAGATTACCGTGCAGGTATAGCATGTAACTAAGAAAGCCAGTAGAATGGTATTATTTATCATGAAAGGAATCAAATACAAAAGTAGGGAGGGTATGCTTCAATTATACAGCACACTGTTGAGACTACATCTGAAGTACTGTGCCCAGTATTAAAAGAAGGATCTAAGTGCATTGGAAGCAGTTCAGAGAACGTTTACCAGACCAGTACCTGGAATCGGTGAGAGACAGTAGGAAGTGCAGATGCTGGAGAATCCGAGACGACAAGGTGCAGAGCTGGATGAACACAGCAGGCCAAGCAGCATCATAGGAGCAGA